GTACGACTTCATACGCGTCTGGGCCTCACTCATCGCATCTTGCGCCAACTTCAAAAGTGCATCTTGCTTCACAAGAATTTCTTGAGCTGTCTTGTTTAGCTGGTCAAATTCCGGGTCCCTTGTTACATCATCAGGCATATAGGGCACATAACCCAGATCAGCCTCAAACGGTGACATTCCGATCGATGAGTGGACACGTCGGTTGTAGGCAAACTCTGCTAGATGCAAATATTCATCCCAATCATTCTGGGCGGGGTTGACAACACCTCGTAGGTAGTCTTCGACAAACCGGTTTGTACGTTCGGTCTGGCCATCAGTTTGCGGGCGAAATGCAGACGATAGTTGGTGTGTCGTTTCTAGCGTCGTTATCACGTCTTGCCAAAACTTAGACGTGAATTTCGAATCTCTCTCCGAAATAATTGATTTAGGCACTCCATTGTCTTTTACATAGTTGACCATGAACGGCGTAGCAGTATCTTCTGCTTTTGCTGTCGTATTGGTTGCGAAGAATTTTGCGCGTTTCGTCAAGCGGTCCACGATAACCATAACGGCATCTTTCCCAGCTGTTGTTCGAGGTAATGCAGTCATGAAGTCCATCGAAATATCAACCCATCTACCTTCTGGAATCTCCAATGGCTGAAGGAGTCCAGGGGGCTTTGTTTGGCGTGCTTTATTGCGCTGGCAAAGCTCACATGTGTTCACGTAGCGCTGTATATACTTTGACATCTTGGGCCAGTATTACTTCTTCTGGACACCTAAGTATGTCTTGAAGTACCCAGGGTGACCTGCCATGACCACGTCGTGGTTCTCGCAAATAACACGGTTCTTCAGATCTTCATTATCCGGAACCACCAGTCGCGGGTTTACATCATCGCGTGCCTGGTAGTAAAGTACTCCATTGTTCACAGAATATCGTGGTACCTCTTTACCACTACTTATACTCTGCAATAGCTCCTGAACACGCATGTCCGTAGAGTAAAGTTGTTTGGCCGAGTGTGCTAACGTAACACTCGTAGTCTGGATACTGGCAACTATTTCCCTGTTGCGCGCAGCTTCAATTAGCTCATTTAGGCTAACTTGCGCGGCCTTATGCTCAAACAATGGGTTTCGAGACACTGCATCTGACACCTGATTACTGTCGCCAGGAATCCACTTGAATTGAGGATGGAATTCCGCGAGTTCATTAAACCATCGAGCCACACGACGATTTGTTGTCTTCTGCGTCAAGCTAGTCTCAATACTCTTGTGATCAGTCTCGACTGTGAATGGAAGATCAAGCAGATATACGCGCCAAACCAGAAGTGCATGCATGATGG